GTCATTTTTAGATCGGAAATTGCAACAAAAATATTGATGACAAAAATATTAAAGCCTAGCGCTGTATGATTAGTGCAATTGATACAAGTGAGACTTGATGAGTTCTCTACATAATTTTTGTTATTTTACCTTCTACCTTTCATTCTTGTGGTGGTATGGATTTGTCTTGGGGTACAAATGCAGATGTATTTGCACTCTTCAAAAGGGTGACCGGTTCTTGATGAGTTGTCCATTCCTTTACCGGTGGCTTCGTTATACCATGCATCACCTATCCTTAAAAAACATGGAGTTGATTAACACCACCAAACATGAAATCAATGTGGTAAGGAATATGTTTTGGGAATCAATGGCCGAAAGTGACTATGATTAAATCTAGCACCGCGGTTCTGAATGTAAGCCGTCGGTTCTTGTAGATCAAGAGACCATAAAGCCATATATGTCCAAGTCATATATGATTTAGCGAGCATAAAAATTATGTTATTTTAGGTAGTAACTAGTTATCCCGCAATTTGGGCTGATTATCCGTCATCCTACTATAATATACAGAACAGAGCTTTGTGATTGGTCAGAGATATCTCTATGTTTACCACAGCAATTTGGGCTGATTATCCGTCATCCTACTATAATATACAGAACAGAGCTTTGTGATTGGTCAGAGATATCTCTATGTTTACCACAGCTCTGTGATATAGTTTTTGCGGGAATAGGGAAAGGGGAGAAGTAGTGCATAAAAATAGCCTAGGATGATTAGACTAAAATGAGGGATAACTAACTACTGCCTTATTTTATTTTATCCATCTTTGTATGAGACTGAAGTTTGAATGTTTAAAGTTGGCTCTACATTCCAACATCTTTGTTCTACAAAGGTGAATACGAATGCTCAGCTTCAGACTCAAAACTTTTTGGAAACAGTAAAATGTGCAGTATGCAAGAATTTAAGTACTGTGCTCATATCTCCTTAAAGAGCTTGCAAATGATGGCTCAATAGAAATGGGATGGAAACATCGGGCTTTGACAATACATAGTTTAACCTTGGAATAGTGTCATCACTTATTAGTGACATACTTCCAATAGTGACATAGAACTCAAAAACCGTTGGGTTTTAACTCGTTAATTTATCCAATAACAACGCATCTGTCACTATTTGCAATAGTGACATGATACTATATAATAGTGACGTTTCCAATTATAATTTCAAAAAAATAATTTGATTTTGATTATTTATTGCTCTTATTCCAAACAAACTTCCAACCTTTGATTTTGACTACTGCTCGTCGCTAACATAGCGTGGAATCACACCACGTACCTTGCCTTGACTCCTACTCTTTGCACTTGGTCGCCCGTCATGTCTGCACTCCCCCACACCCTTCTCTAGGAGAAACGCGAGAAAAAATAGAATAGTTGGTTCTGTAATATCGATCTATCAAAATTTATTTGTTCACATAATCCCACCATACAACCCCGTACATTTTTATTCGTGTTTTGTTGATTTCTTTTTGTTGTTTCAACCATTTTAGTGGTGAGAAAATACACAAATCACTCTACAAATTTCCTCGACTCTGCTTGTTCACAATTCATCATTTATAACTCTGATTAATCTTGAAGATCTCAGCTCAGCTTGCTCGCTTTCCACAATTTATAACTCTGTTTTATTTTGGCGACATGAGATTACTCTTAACACAGACAATCCCATATTTGAATTCAAAGACAAATAGTCAAGAATAATACTATCCGTTAAATATTCAACGGATTTGCCAATCGGGCAATAATAGTTCTATATTATCCACTAAATGTTACTTAAACTCGTGTGTGTGACACCTCCCAACAGTGACTTAAAATGTAAGTCACTATTGAGGTATGAGAGGTTTAACTCTGTATTGGAATTACTGAAAGTTGACGCTATAAGACACTCAGGGCTCCAGCTTTCCAGTTCAGGTGGACTCCTAGAGAAGAAAAGTTAGGGTTTCTGTGCCTGTACAGTGTGCACTGTACTGTATGTATATCAGCTCATCACACTCTGACTACGAATCGAATAGCGGAAGCCGCATCTAATCTCCTTCTGGTCAAGACCCCAGTATTCAACTGTGTGGTTTGCCCATGGACTGCGGATTGAAACAATCGTATTTCATGTACATGAACTGTTTCAACTGCACTAAATTAGATAGCTATAAATTCTTCTGGAAGACAACCAACAATTCACCTGGCAGACAAGGTGTGAGGAACTGTTAGTAGTCAAGATAGTCAACACATGTACAAACCACACTTTTAAAAGCCTCCACATATGACCCTTCAAACTGTCGTATTCATATATTCTGACACTGCAGTGTTATACATGTACATGCATAAGGTAATCAGCAGACCTATTGGTGGGGCCCAATAGAAAAAGCATCTGAACCGAATTCCTGACCAATCCAGTGATAGGTTATCTGATCTGAACAATTGTAGTTGCTTCACAACGATGATGCCACGTACACATTGTGTCCACTGAGGCTTTAGGACAACCAGAACTAAGAACAAGATCGATGAGAGTCTAGAATATGAAAGTGATCCAGAGCTCATCCTTTGAGAATGCGAAAATAAAGACAAGCAGCACCACCTTTCAGTGTTCATCACTGTACTATGGTGAGTTTGGTCTCGACCGTGAACCAGATCACCAAAGCATGAGCACTGACTGGACTGAGCACGGGATTGTCTCCGTTTTCTCCGAGGATCCTTGACTTCTGCGCTCTTGCACCTCCATGTACTTTTCCGTCGCACTATAGTTTTCTGTCTCTCGCACTTTCCCTGGATTGAGGCCTTCAGCACCTGACATCTGTAACATTGCTGCGCCAGATACTTCCAAAATTGGAAGTTGTCGGACTGGGGGCTGCAACTTGCGGCTTGGGGACAATAAGGAGGCTCGTCGGCATTGAGCTCGGATCATTATATGTCTTTCCTTCGGACGACATCGTATCGCAACCATCCTCTACCTCGGGAGGTCAGCACGTGCACCCACTTTGCGAATCTGTGTGCTTTACACAGATGAAGAATCTGGAGCGTCTGCGTTCTGAATCGCCGATTGACTTCTGACAGAGTGAAAGCCAAAAAACAATATTTCATTCCAATTCAATTTAAGCAATAGATGCCTCCGTCGTTGATTTTCCAGCTGACATACCCTAATGTATGTGAACTTAAGCACAAGCTCTGCTCACTGCATGTACACATGCAATCCAGACCTGTATACTGCTTCAAGTGAATGTTCAAAGATCATTTACAGTGATGTGCATTACTTTTAGAACTTGAAGCTTGTATCATCGTCTTGGATTATCCTTGAAGCGATAAAAGGTTATATAGAGCGAACGATTTTGAACGATTCTGTAAAGTAGTCAAAACCTTCTCAAAACATGGTCAGAAAAAAATTGACCATTCTAGAACATTTGGTAAACCATTTTAAACTATCTACGTACAAGACAGTCGTACTGTACGTAGCTAGTTTAATCCTCATTCAAGTGAGGTATATTCCAAATTAATCTTATGGGGTTAGTCTTGGATTAGAAAATTCTAAATTAGACTTGAAGGCCTTGAAGAGAGAAATTATTTGCGACTGAAGCTCAAAAGCAATTGAATGACAAATATTGAACGTGAATTTAATTAGGTTACATAGATTAATATGAGATATAAGCCTTATGCACATGGTAACCACTGTTGTTCATCATTGTTTCTGATATTCACACGCTATAGGTGATGGTACAGTTGGCAAGTGAACACGGTAAGGGGAACCATTAAGAAGTTGTCAACTTCACTATAGTCTGACTAAGATTCAAGATTCATGTAAAACTTCTTGATCCAAGCACATCTTTTACTCACGTTTCTCCAGTGCAGTCTCAACTGCTCAGTCTATATATGTATGTTTCCTTTTAACTGAACCAATGAGTTCAAAGAAATCTCTCACTTGGAATAGAGTCAGTCAATTGTACTTGTAAATCATAAAGCAATCGTAAGTCAGTAAAATGCCTTCAACTCTAGTTAGCAGAATCTGACATAAATGCAATTCTAGTGCTGTGTTCTGCTATTAATACACTCGAGAGCATGTGATATGCCTAGCCAGTTGCAAAATTGCTAATCATGTCCTAACAATAAGATCCTGACAATCGCACAGGGTTTGGGTATCACGAACAACTCTGCGATCTCCTCTACTCGATACTTAGACAGGAAATTCTCCTTACGAGAGGAACCGGTATTGAGGTTTACAAAGTCGGTGCGCTCGAACCTTCACCTTGAGTACTCGAAATTGACAAACTCAAGGCCAATAGAGGCAGATTTGTGTCCATTAAACTCCAGTCGTTTCATCTTTCTTGGTAAGGAAAAGAAAGAGAACCACAGAGGATTATGATGCTCTGAATCTTTCTCAACGAATCCCGTCATTTTCAACATCTAGAATAGATTAATAGAAAAAACAAGCAAAAAGTCTCTGCGGCATACACCGAGACAAATGGAGTGTGCCCACTTCAGAAGAGCCCTATATAGCCCTTTGGTAGAATTGGACATCTCCTTTTCCAATCTAAGACAGAGGCTGCAAATATCTGACCAACTAAGGATTGTCCTAAAAGTTGAACTATTGCTGAGGCTGGCTGTAACGATTTTTCCTCATGACAGTAACATAGCACCATATGGAAGAAAACTTACTGTAGTTCTTGCTTCCAACGTTGGTCTGGAAAGTCAAGATTCAACGAAATCACAATATCCAGTTGTAGCCTGCTCCCTATTGAAACGCATCACTCGATGTGCTTCGGTACTGTACTTGGAGCCAAGCACGAAGGTATAATAAATAGCCGGGAATGAAGGCGAAAAATTGCCCACACGAGCAACTTATCCTAACCCAAAGTTCACTGTAGTTTTGCAGTCTGCATGCTTGCCTACCCCGATACAATAGACTCTACAAATAGCCTGCGGTGTTAAAGAAAGAATCCGACTATTCTTGCCACAGAAACGAAGAAGCAATCGTTGAAGACTGGTCGACCAGTGTTCGATAGGGGCAAACGGCGGCTCTTTTCAGGCGAAATGGATTTTGTGTATCCTTTTCGCCTGAAATCGATACACAGTACCAGATTCTGGTATGAATCTGCCGTGGATAACGAAAGCTATTTCATCGCCTGCGGTGGGTTGGATCTACAGTATACTCAAGTCAAAGAATCTCATCATCATATGAAGCAGACGGCAAGAATGTCCTGGACTCTCCATCCGGCCAGAATCGATGTCACATCCTGCTGAGGTTATGCGACAGGTGTGGTAAGATGGCACAGCTCCATCTACGATTGAGCACTCTTGTGGTGCGCTTGAACTGCATGTGCATCACCATTTTGTTGCTGAGCGAGACTCCTTGGGCTAGCCGACCCATCAACACATTCAGGAGAGGTAGTATCTTTCTTACTTGTTAACTCGAGTTTTGATAGCACTCAATGTCATATGAAAGAAATTGAAAGTTGTATTTTCTCGCCTCAAATCCTTCAGAAAAACCTTGACCTTCAAGTAGTAGTACAGTAGTGGTAGTAGTAAGAATCTTCGGATACCCGGTACTGTCGTCGCCATTTGGAGCTGCACTAGTTGCAGAAAGTTCATTTATGAGGTTTATGATAATCGGCCGTGCTATTATGTTTTCATTTTTGCTTCTGTGCGTGTTTCTATCCTGTGTTGTTATTGAGCTCAGTGGCCTGCAGAAATTTGCTGTCATAGTCAGGGAAGTACTCCAGGCCACTTGTTGTAGTTAATTGCTGCCAGACTTACAGAACTTCATGGACCAGTACGCTATATGCTTCATGTTGCTCTTCAGACAACGCACCTATTGGTAACTGTGGATTCATCAAGACAGCCAGCAGCTCACTAAGTTCTGTGTAAAGTTCTGTGTCCACTTATATTGAACGGATGCTGCAGCAGAGACAAAGGCAATTTTGCCCAAAAGCTCATCACCAGTCATGGCGTTAGAACGATCTCCATCTCGAGGTCAGACACATGTATGCTAATGACGGTGGCAGACTTTGCTGACATCTCTAAATTACTTTGCATCTTCTGTACGCTTATATGGAGCGTCTACAGCTAAGCCATGGAGTTAACTGTGTTTACTGGAGGATTCATCTGGCTTCTGACATATCTACAAAATAACTTCTCAGATATGGAACAAGTATTCAACGGGAGACTCGTCGTTCGCGCTTCACATGCGTCCACCAGCAGAGGAAAAACCAAGACTTCTCAAGATGGAGTTCTTTACAGAGGCCTGCCTTCGAGATCTGCTAAGTGGACTGCTCGCGGTATTGAGACGAGAAAGGGAAGTCCGGAAGGGAACTTTCCTGTTCAGCTTGCAGATTCTTTCCATCTGGTGACATTGACTTCTCGGAATCACGCTGAGAACCATGATGTATTTCACCGAGCTTTACTTCGGGATGTATCTCCGCCTGGAATGTGGCCTATAACTGATGACCAAGACGGAGAATACGTCTGAAGAAGATCTCTCGTGACGAGCATCCTCAACAACTGGCAGCTTAAGTGTCCGGATGGCGTTGGAAACTCAAGATAACGGCTTTCCGTCGTAGCCATGACTAGTCCATGAAGGTGTACTACATCGGCACCCGCCCCACGCTTACCTGCGCCTGTGAGTACATCCCTCGTGAAAGTTGAGCATTGAGTCGTCACCCCGGTTTCTAGCTCAATCTGCTTGTTAGGAATCTTCAATGGCAGCATGTCTTTCGAGATAAACGAGAATCCTGTCTGGAGGATGACGGAATGACTCATGTTAGACGGGATTCTGATGGGATGAAAAAATCTGCAAACACTCTAAACCTTTTTCTCGTCGTCCGCCTTCAAGGCCTACCTCGCACAGCTCTCCATATGCCAACAAGCAAGTCCATATCTTCTAGGTCGAAGATACGGACTTGCTAGAAGAATGCCCTAGATACACACATGAGCATGTTCACTCCGTTTCACCCCACAAGACTATTCGATTTTACCAATCTCGAGTTGATCATTCGGAACGAAAACTATATGGATAATACTTGTTCGAATGCGATTCCTAGGTTCCCTACTGATCATCTATATTCGAAAAGATTGATGCAGATCTGTGATTATGAAGGTGTTTAGGAAACCTGTGATGAATAATCTGACTTAGACCCTACAGACGCTCTCATATCTCAGGATATGAGGAGAAATTACATTAGCTGTGAACGCTGTGGACTCTCAACTGGAGCTATGCTCTCTCAGAGTGTGTCTACTTTGCAAGAACCCGGATACAGGCCCGGTGAGGACAGTCTGCAGGGATGCGTCTGGTCATCATATCCTTAGATCTCTGAGATTTTCGTGATTCTCTTGTTTTTCAGAACACCTGACTTCTAAGTAAGCATTTGCTCCAGAAGCTAGCGAATCAGAGGATCAACGGACTCCAAGAATCTTCTCTGAATATTCAAGCCAAAGGATTAAACATATGTATAGTTCGTGCTTTGACATGTTGTTTACAGTTTATTATGGTTCGCCATGGTGTTTTCAAATCTGGTTTAACATGCGAGTGTCTACCAACTAACACACTTTCTGCTATCTCCCGGAGTTGAGCAAAGTTCTTCCTTGGTAAACCTCGGTTAAGTATCGGAAAGGCAGGATACAAATATAGCATGTTCGATGCATATTTGGTCCACCTGCTGTTTTAGGACCTCGCATATCTTGCACGTCAGCTGCAAGAGAAGCACCCCGTGGTGGATCTGCCGCTAGAGCCACTGTCCAATATATATCTACACGAGTTCGACATATGGATAGAAGAGCGCATCCAGCAATACAATATAGGAAGGAAGGAGACTCGTGGCTGGGTGCTGCTTCGGAAGCAAACTGCCGGGCCCGTAGTGCGCGGGGAGCATGTCCCGCTTCAACACTTGTTTACATCAATATCCTATTTTAATGGAAAAGGGATCTATTGATATAGACACAGGAAATTAAGAGACAGAACCTCACCAGTAAACACAACTCAACCTCGTCCACATATGCAGAATCATAACCAATGCTTGATTCCAGTACAAACGCAACGTTCAGAATTTTCCTTGTTATCATTGTTACAGAAAACTTTAAAGTGCTGTCATAAAACTTGAATTTATTCCCCAATGTTCTGAAAGCATGAGCCGGTTTGAAAACAAATACACCATTTTGTTCTTGTCAATTTGAGCAGCCTATGTTGATTCTATGAATGGCTTGTCAAAGCTTATGCGAATACAACCGACAATAACCCGAAAGATGGATCATATTCCCTTAATTATTCGTTTTTGACTCCATAGTTCGAAAAACTGTGAGTTGTGAAACTCAGAATAATACGAGTTCTCGGTCGTCAGAACTATTTGTTCCGACAGATCAATAATCATGGTGACATGTTCTTTCTAAAGTAGGGAACTTGATCATGAGAATCTCTTCATGGGGGCACAGGGCAGTTAGTACACATGTTATGAAGAAAAAAGTGGTTTTAAACGTTACAGTTCAAATTGATGCGGCGGTCACCGCTCACGCACGGTTTACATCTTACAATATGAGCAATTAATGTGAATAAATAGAAAAAAATAAGGGAAAATGGAGTAGTTTACTTGAAGCGTGTAGTATGCCAAGGCACTACTATTTCCCCTAGGCTTCACTTTCTTCTGCTGTGAAGGTGCAGCGAAGAAACTCACTCGATATACCTCATTGTACATAGGCGGCTCTGCATATTTCTCTGGCTCAAGATGCTTTTGACTCCTACCTTCCTCAACTATGTAGGTCTTGTTACGTCACGGAGGAAAGGAAAGAAGCGTTAGTAACCACTCTTCAAGTGAGATAAGAGAAATACGGGCGAGATAAAATTGTACGAGTAGGGTAAAGCGGTTGTTTCGAATTAGACATTCACGGAAGACTGTTTGCATGTGCAAGAAGACGTAGACAGTGGCTAAAATTGTCTCTAAGTTTAGAAACATATGTCACGTGATGTCGGTTAGACGAGCAGAGAGTATAAGCTGGAAATACCGCAAAGCTGTGAGCTTCAAAACGTTCCTTACGTTAAGTAAGAAGAATGATCCTTTCAAAAACTACCCAATATGCTTTTGACCAAAGTAAAGGTGAAAGTGATGAAACTCGATCGACATTTTTTTGACAAATGTGCAGCAGATTGCTGTATTAGCCATCTCAGCTTGTTCTGATGAGGTGCAAGTAGTTCCCCAGTGAGATTCTTGACTGTAAATGATCAGGTATTTACTGAAAAATATTAATTTCATGAATCGATACTAGTTTATAATTAGATAAATTCGAAATGAGAACTGAGTAGAAAATCTGAGTGAGAGAAAACGTTCCCGACTGTGTGTGTTGAGCTAGGCTGTAATCCACCTACAACGACCGAGAACAGTCTAAGAAAGTATATATCATGACAATTGTGGGGTCTGTAGACGTGACTACAATGCTCATACAACATTACAGTTTCGGAGGATGATGATTTGGAAACGCTTTGTTTCAATTGAAATGGGAGTATTCCGATTTTGTTAAAGTGGATGGAAAAGGCATGGCTTTACTTCATCCCAATGCCCACATTTCAAATTATCGCTTTGTCAAGGGAATGATCTGATCTTCACAGCGTAGACCTTGATAGAACGAACGTATCAACAACGAACGTAATGTATTAATAACTGTGCCAACAAATGCAGAAGGAGACGCAATGGCATCGTCCTAAAAAAATTGGGATTGCGGACTTTATAAAGTAGTCCTCCCTACTGTAAAAAATATCTTGTCGCTTGTCTAAAGGCGCTCTAGAACCCAGTGTAAGGGTTGTAATTAAATATCTGTGAATCTCGTGCGTGGCCATGTGACAAAAAAACATGACAAAAAATCGAGTGAAGAACCTCTATAGAGATTAAAACTTTTGCACTGACCCCTATAAATCTTCGGAGATCAAGAGATGGTCACGGAACAGAAGTTCTTCACCGGCAAGTTGACTGCAGTTGCTTGCAATAAAAATGGACATCACGGAACGGAAGCCCCTCTCTGGATATGTCGGGGTACATATGGAGTCCATTTGAGATTTAGGCGACGGAGTGAACTGAATGTTGAAGCAAAAACCGACTGCCTGCACCTGCACTTGGCAGTCTGACCTGCCTTAATGATCGTGAGATAGTAATCTCACAATGTAGCTGCTATCATCAGCCTTTGACTCCAGCTGTTAAGAGTGCCTTTGTTGTAAGAAGTGATCACTTGCGCACGAGGATGTCTCGGTCATCGGCTGCAGTAATTGGCCACATACCAGGCGGGGAAATATCGCCTAGAAGGGCTCTACCATGCTGAATACTGCTGCTCTTCGCCGATGACGAGTAAGATTTATCGGAAAGAAGTGCCCTCCTGCGATTCACTTGAAATTCGTCATCATCAGAACCGACGGGCCACATTCCCGGAGGTGAAATATCCCGTAGAAGTGCTCTCCGACCTCCATGCTGGTGATCCGTGCTTGCCCAGACTGAAGACGAGAAAGTTCCATCAGAAAGAAGCGACCTCCTGCGAGCAATTTCAATCGCTTCATCGTCGGATGTGATGGGCCACATTCCTGGGGGAGATATATCCCTCAAGAGAGCTCTTCTATGCTGGTGGGGGTGTTCATTTTTGATCGCATGTGCTGAAGATGAATGAGGGCGACCGGACAGAAGAGACCTTCCACGATTCACTCCACTTTGATCACCGGCAGAACTGATGGGCCACATTTGGGGAGGAGAACTGTCGCGGAGAAGAACCTGTTCATGCTTACGCTCTCTGTTAGTTTTGCTGGATTGAACTGGAGACAACTGGGCATTATCAGAAAGAAGCGCCCTTCTACGAGACACTTCAAATTCATCATCGTCAGATGTTGGCCACATTCCTGGCGGTGAAATATCTCTCAAGAGAGCCCTCCTGGACTTGTGACTTCCGCCCTCCGACTGCTCCGGAGAGGACAGTAGCATTCTCCCGCCGGAGACTTCCGATTCATCGTCGTCATCTGAGTCCAGCCACATTCCAGGAGGAGAGATATCGCGAAGAAGAGCTCTACGATGCTTCCGAGTTTGACCATCACCAGCTGGGTCCGGAGAGTCGGCTGTGGTTTTGGCGTGTGCTAGGAGGGCCCGTCTCCGAGCAAATTCGAACTCATCATCGTCCGAAGAAGGCCACATTCCCGGGGGTGAGATATCTCGCAAGAGAGCTCTTCCGTGGTGATGCCTCGTGGACCTCCTCTCGGCATCAGAAGTGATTGGCCATTTTCCTGGTGCTGAAATGTCGTGCACCAGAGCTCCTTCATGCTGGAGGGGATCCGCCGACCTCGATCCAGAAGAATCAGTGGAGAGAAGCATGCGCGAGTGTCCGCTTGAATCAGCAAACTCGTCATCGTCAGATGTTACAGGCCACATTCCTGGGGGCGAAATGTCACGGAGGAGCGATCTGCCGTGGAAATTGTGAAGCTCGACATCCGGAGACGACTGATCGGCCAGGAGGGCTCGTCTGCGGGAGGTCTGAAACTCGTCGTCGTCAGAACCAACGGGCCACATTCCTGGAGGAGAAATGTCTCGGAGGAGGGACCTTCCGACGCGGTTCTGAGAGCGGGCATCTGCTCGATCGAAAATCGTCTCGTTACCATCTCCCGTTGAATGTGCAGACAGGAGGGACCTTCCGCCGACACTCTCCAGCTCATCGTCATCAGAAGTGATAGGCCACATGCCGGGCGGAGAAATATCCCGAAGCAGGGACCTGCCAAATCTGCGCTGCTCGCCATCGCTCGCTACAACGGGCATGTGCTGAATGGGACCTGCCGAGGACGCGAATCCGGAACTCGAAGTCGCAGCCGGAACGCGCGAACGGCTGGCATGGCGCGTTAACCCTTGGCGCAGGAGACACACCACCTTCGAGAGAACTCGTGTGCCCAGGAGTCCTGCGCCCTGAGTCCGGTCACATGCCACCGTGGTGGGCCACGTTTGACTCGCCTGAGGCCTTCCTGTCCCGCCACGTGTTGCGTCGTCCGCACCAGTCACAGTCGCAGAGGAGGCTTCCTTCGGAATGTTTGTAGATGCAACCCTGTCACTGGCGGTGGGCCGCACGTCCGGCGGCGATGTCTGGAGGGACATCCGTGGCTGCATGGTGTTTTGCCGTCCGAGGGACGCCCATCGATCGTCCGGCGCAACCTGGGATTCTGCATATGCGCGACGACATCTCAGCTTAGAACTTCGTGCTGTGAGCTTCATGACCTGCCCAATCGAGATTCATATTCTCCCATCTCTTCTACCTACGATTCACTCCTCCATTCTGGCCGAAAATTGCAGATTCTCAATGACTGCAGCGCAGCTGTAATGAAAAAACGGATGATGTACTAGAATCCACACTCTACAACCATGTGCAGCCTAGTACTGTGATCCATTGCTGGAAACCAGTGCACGGCACGAGTTGCATGACGGTTCTGACGCTCACCTTGGTCTGAGATCGACAGCGAGGAAGATGTTGTCGGCAACTTCGACGAGCTGCTCAGTTTACTGAGATCATATGCAACATCTGAAAATAATCAAGGCAACCAGTAACTCGTCAGTTGACTGGACTTTGGGGCTTGAATGAACACAAAGAAGATGATAAATCCATGCAGTGTAAGCAGCAGAGTGGGTCGCTGAATGTCCGACCTGGAGTGAATTGCGGAGGTGTTTGGCGAGCTTGAGTGCTACAACACAAGAACAGGATGCTGAGAGGAATAATAAACACAATGCCCGCCATGGTTCTCAAAAGAATCATTGTCTTCTTCACTTGATTTGAAACTATGCTCCTCCTGTGGTGGCTCTGCAGGCACAGCTTGGCTGAACTCAAAACGAATTCTGATGCTAGCTGTGGAGAGGCTTGACGAGAAATTCAGCTGATTCTCAAGTATACTGGCCGAGCAGTTCGGAATAAATTGCAGACTGAGCTCAATTCCTGGAGATCTGACTTGTACAACTGTTTGCTGCTGTCTATTTGACTGACCAAAATTGGAGACCCAACTGTGGGATATGGGATTGTGTTTGACTTCGACTGACAGTGTGCAGAGAGATATATAGGCAGTGCATTTGACATGTTCCTTTGATCCCAGCTGCATCGTCTGCGGGTCTCACAGAATGAGCCACGAACAAATCGATCACCGCCCACTTCGAGCCGGAACAAAAAAAATTACAATACAAAAATTACCACCGACCAGTCTAGTAAAAAGTTTCTGATGACAAAGTGCTCAAATTAGTTTGTTTAATGGAAACGCCGACAAAGGAGAAAAAACAAGAGCCTGGAAAGCTCTCCCGGCGCTGGCCACAAAAATTGAAATTAGCCTTTTGGGATGGGATGAGTTAAACCAGTACATCACGTGCGTGCGTTGTCAAGGACCGGTCCTTGATGCCTGTGACCAGACCCGAGCTAACGGGATCAAGGTGGGGCCCATCGACAAAGGATGTTTCTACGTCACAAGCGTTGAGCAAGGTACCCACAGGTACGGCAAATGTCGGCTGCATATAACGAATTCTCCCTGCCGTGCTGCATTTCGAAGACGATTGAAAATTACCCCGCCTCTAGGAGAAACGAAGTTATTTCTTTAGTAGCTCTAGAGTTAGCAGATTCCCTCTATCACCGATATTCACACCTGAAAAAGTCGTGAATGTATCACAATTTCAATGTACTACTGGACATTTGTTCAAACACATGCTCGCAAGCCTGACGGTAGCTTCTGCTTTTTGCCTGGATTTCTAAATCTTCTCTCGGGAGATAACTCGGTTTTAGCTTTTTATTTATTCCAGTCATATTTCTTAACAACAGGTTATAGCTTATATTGAGGAAATATGATTATTACAGAGAGATATTTATACTGAAGTCAATAGACATAATTCAGCAAGAAGATCTTAATAATTTTATCTAATCAATAACCATCTGTCAAGTGCGTTATTATAAAAAAACAAAGAAATTGATATTTACACTTTAAATTTTAAACATATTTACATTTAAATACATATATACAACATCCATGAAGATAGCTTCCTTTTGTCCTCACTATCTTCTAACCATCAAGTGAAGAGTGGGCATTCTAATAGCATGCTTTATGTACTTCAATCCATGAAATCAAATCTTCTAGTTGAAAAAGAATCGAATTAATCTGATATCCACTCTATTGCTTTTTAAATTGCTAGTTACTTATCGTGGAGCAATATAAGCTTATAGATGTTGCAAGGAGCTAGAAATATAAAAGGCTGGCTTTTTAGCGTGCATATATAAAGCGTCCATCAAAATAGCTCTCCTATGTCAACATCATCTTCTCACGCTTAAGGAAAGATAAATCCTTTCTTTGTAGCATGCATATCGTTCTCATAGAGTCATATAGTCCATCCAAGTTGTTATGATATGTGCTAAAATAATTTTCTGAGCTCTGCTACCAACTTCTGTGGTTTTTTATATCAGTGATTGTAAGATGATTGACCATGTGGAAGTTTTGCCTTAAAGATGTACCAAGGAAGAAGAAATCTGAGATTTAATGTCGTATTTACATCTTGCTGTAATGAGTGTATGAAATCTTTTGCAACATCTTGCTGAGGATAATAAAACAGACCTTTCATATTCATATTTCATATGATCGAATGACTTCTTTTACAAGCGTGAAAGACTACAAGGCTGTATACATTGAAAGAAAATTTATGTATTCAACACATCAACTATCATAAAATTATCACCATAATTTCTACTCCCTAAATGCATAGGATCTAAGCTATACATTAGGTAGATCTTTTCTCATACTATCTTATTAAGTTGATGGAAGATTTATTGTACATTATGAAAATTTATATTTGCCGCATTTGATGGTAATTTTAAAAAGCATTTCTACATATTTTGAAAGAGGTCTACCACAAAGAAAACCAAAGCAAAGAAGACATTTTCAAACTTTTCTTTAAAAAAAAATTATATATTTCAAATTCCTGTTTATCTTTCTATTTAATATATATTTTCACTTTTTGAAAAAAAAATAAATTTTAAAATTATCGAATACAGAAATTTTAAAAACTGAAAAAAAAATCGTAACAAGTCAAGATAGTATTCATTCCTCATTAATGTTGATTAAAAAAATACAAAGGAATTATAAGGTTTAAGTCATGCACATAAATATTAGATCAGAAATCGTTGGTAACAAACCATATTTTATAATTTCTCACAATTTTAAAGGATAACTGATTAGCGACTCATTCATGATCTGTTCTATATCTAAAACTGAAAAAAGTATAAATATATCACAATTGAAATGAAAATCACAATCACCCAAAAATTCTAATTTTTCGGATGAAAAACGTTTTTTTAAACTAAACAAGGATATTACTCATGTTGACTATGTGACAGTGCCATAACGTTTGAAAGAGCCGTTTTTCCGTAAGATCAATTTATGTGGATTGCTTCTATCAATCTAAAATTGCAGATAATTTTTCTTAACAAAGCATCGCAAGTTATTGCCATTTAATTAATGTGGTCTAGCAATATGACCATCATTCAAAGGTAAGGTGGATTCAGATGTTGTGTTGTTTGATGTTTGTAACGAGATATATTTTCTATTTCTGCCTTCATGAAAGATACCTGATCTTTAGATATGATGTTAAATTTAATTCATTATAGTTCATTTTGGTTAAATATAATTTATCGGACCTAGATGAGCAAAAAGTAATACTTCGTGAACATCTGTTTACTTTGACATTATAAATCTCTTGAAGTATCGAGTAATGCATCATCATCATCACACATAGCATGAATAAAATTACTTGTTTAAACTCAACCAAATCATATGACGAATATTATCTTGACACAAACACATGATGTTCATACATTTGCATTCTCTTATGTTTAATAGTAAAAAATGACACTTAATGAGTTTTAACACTGATGAACGAGATACGAAGCACAAATCCAGAATATTCTTAAAATAAGTATGATTTTTTCAATAAAATTTGCGAGTTTTTGTGTAAAGATATAATATAGTATTAGGTTTGAGCATCATTTCATAGTCTTACAATAGAGTTACAATCCATGTCAAATATTATGAGGAATTTAGATTTCACAAGAGATTTTAAACTAAAAAATAACAAAAAGTTATCGATATGGATTCATCAGGTTAAATATATTGATACTTGAAAAATAAACTGAAAAATACATTAATCTTCAGTTTTAACATATAGAAAATCTTTCAACTTTGAAAACATTTTCAATTGTCATACTGCCGAATCCTTTAAGAATCTCTATTTTTTAAAGGATTGAACACTGATATACCATTGTATCCCTTCAAAGATTTTCATTTGGTTGATAAGTTTAAAAATAATTATAATTACGTGACAAACTTGATTCAAAATTAGAGATGAGATTGAATGTTAATTTTTAAGTTTCCAGAAAACTAAGGAATTGAGGTACCATAATTAAAAAAAATTAAAGGTAAAATATACTTATTTATCAAAAAATCTAAATGTTTGGCCCTATATACTGTATATACTTACAATTATCTTATGAAAATTATGTCCAATGTTTTAACCTAAAAAGATTCATACGTGGATTCTTTGTGAATCTGAAGGTCTCAATTTTTTTAATTATACTGTTAGTGAAAGTTTAAAGCCGATCAATTACATCATCATATGAAAAAATGACTTATAAATT